AGACTTGTTAGACTTCTTAGGAAGGGATGTTGTGACAACGGATTTACCTTTGTCTTTGCACCCAGAACTCGAAGGCGTTCCTTCAAGATGACTCTTAGTAAAAGAGGAGGACTGAGAGGAAGAAGTGTTGGGAATAGAATAGACGAAGGTACCAAACTTGAGCATGGACATGTCTTTAACACATTCTTCCTAATCATAGGAGAATCCTAGACCAGTCTTTATCTTGGCGGGGATCTGAGCGTTAATGATCTCAGAGGCCTTGATGGAAGCTTTGCACCACCCTTCAATTGTAGCTTTTTCGGCCTTGAGTTCAGCGATGGTTCGCTCACGCTCAGCGATAGCCTTCTCATGTTCAACAGTGATGGCTTGCTTTATAATATCCTGATCTTTAAGATTTTCCTTAACAGAGGTCAGTTCTTTGATCTTAAAATGACAAATCTTCAATTGCTCTTGAAGATCAACGTTAAGCATTTCAGCTTTCGATTTGCCATTGAGGGCATTGTAAAGATCAACCGTCAGCGTATCCAGTGCAGAAAGACTAGAAGAAGAAAAAGGTTCATTCAGGAAACATACCTGAGTAGAAGAAAAAGATGGCTCAGAGGAAGTAGATGTTTCTGAAGATCCTTCATTTGCATTTATGGCCATCAAGCAGACATAAGCTTTATCCTCCTCATTCGAAGATGATTCATCGGATGACTCAGCCCAGTCATGCTCTTCAGCTATAAGGCATTTAGCCTTTCGCTGGTTGTTCTTTATCTTCTTGTACTTCTCCTTCAGTTTTGAGTACTTCTCATCTTTTGTCCTGAAGGAGGAAGAAGCTTTAGAAGGTGGCGTCGCAGTCTTCTTTGATCTGCATTCACCTGCAAAGTGTCTGGGCCAGTGACAGTTGTAGTAGACAGCTGAAGCCTTGTCTATTCTTTCAGACTTTGGCTTTTCCCTGAGGGACAGCTGAGGAGATCTGCGAAAGTTGCTCTTACTGGTGAACCTCCTAAATGTCTTAGTCAGGAGTGCCAGGGACTCATCAAAATCTGTTAAATCAGATTCTGGAATGTCCTCAGAGATAGAAGAATCTATCTTCGTGATAACAACGGGAGGAAGAGAAGAAACAAATAGGGTAGAAGAAGTTTCAACTGAAGAAGCTTCAGAGATCAAAGCCAGAGGAGAGCTTTTCATTTCCCTGGATTCTTTTACAAGATTCCTTTTCAGTTGACGAGATTGCTCATGATTAAGCAGAATCCTATATAAAGTAGAAAGAGAAAGAATGGACATGTCATTTGACATCTTGAGACACATGGAAAATGTGTCCCATGACTCAGGAAGGCATTCTAGAAACTCGGTTAAAGTTTTAGAATTAGAATATTCCTTGCCAACAGCCCTAAGATCAATAAGAAGGTAGTTAAATCTCTATTGTACTTCAGACAGTGTCTCAGACTTTCCACAGAGAAAGCTTTCATACTGTCTTACTAGATTGATCTTTCTAGTCTCTTGAACCTGAGTGGTTCCTTCATATTGGACACAAAGTGTGTCCCACATGGATTTAGAAGTTTTGAGTATCATCACTGAATGATAAATCTCATCAGGAAGAGACATAACTACTATAGACCGAGCACGCGTGTCTATAGCTATTTTCTTCTTGTCCTCATCGCTCCATTGATGTGGAAGCTTTGGAATCTGCCGTTCAGGAATGCGGCAGTCGTAGCTGTTGCTGGAACAACCGGAGCAATAACAAATGGAATATATGGTCCATTTTCTATATAATATGGAATTTTAGGATCCCCACTTTTCAAAAAGAGTGACATCCGGTTCTTCCAGAGACTAAAGTTGTCACGGACAAACCGGAGAGGTTTGGCAAGAGAGCCATTATCTTTTGTGTGTGTGTTTGTAATTTGTAAAGCCATTTGTAAGCGGTAAAGTTATCTAAGAAAAGAGATAAACTAATATTGAAAATAGCTAAACATAAAGAAAGAAAGAAAACACTGCTCTGATACCACTTGTTGGTCCTTGAGGGTCTACAAGAATAGTAAAACAGTTTGTAGAAGGGTGGGGGACGAATACAAACCCAATATTTTTAATTTAAAATATATATTGATAAAGTAGATCAATACAGATTTTACAAGATTATTTGAGGAAAGATAAGGTGATAAAAGCATATTTAAACAATCTTTAGTTACACATTAAGTCTTAGCAAATACAAGAAAAGAAATGCTGAAGAGAAGATCCTTTACTTAAGCTAGAAAATGCTTGAAGTAAGAATTAGGGTTAGAGAGTGAGTTGCGCGCACTCTGCATGGAGAAGAAACACTTCTATTTATATCCAATGTATTAAATGAACATTTAATGCAATAAGATAGGGTTAGAGTGCGTGTCAAGCCTTAAGAGGAAGGCTTGTCCTTTGCTACAGTGAATAGTACAAAAAACACTACTCATGAGCAGACATCCTTACCTAAAGTTGGTGGACAATAGAGTCGACTAGTCGGCTCCGTACCGTACCAACTTTCATAAGGGTATGGGTTTTGTTCTTTGTGTGTATAAGGACAAGACAACGACAATCGTGCTAAGCAAGCTTCCTTTGATTGCTGAATACTGGAATGACCTGAAGGTCTCTTCATCATTTGCTGAAGCTTGAGCAGTCTTCACACATATGTAGACGGGCTTGTAATCACTGAGTACCCCTTCAGATCACGTACTTGCCAGTCTCTAATCTTCAGTTTCAGTCTTCGACGTTTGCTGAAGGTTCTTTGGTGTTAGTGTTGTCTTCTTGAAGTATTGCTGTCTCTGATAGATTTACAATGCAAGTTTTTCAGCGATCACTGAACATACTCAGTGAAGGTCGTTGGAACTGAAAAGATAGAAACATAAGTACAACGTATAAGTGAAAAGGGATTATCATCAAATCACTGAGAGAGAGGATCAACAAAGGTGTTGTGGATTGCGTCAATGCCGGTGAGGTGATGCCAAGTAGAATCGGACAACGGGTTGCATTGCCTGCAAGTTTCATCGGAGGACCACATGACATGCGGCGACGATTTCTTGATGACATGACTTTAGTGCAAGATGATGGGAAGCCTGATATATTCCTTACAATGACGTGCAATCCAAAGTTTCCTGAAATCCTTAGAGAGCTGTTGCCGGGTCAGACCGCACCCGATCGGCCAGACCTTGTTGCAAGAGTTTTTCGTGCGAAACTAGAGGATATGAAAGACCAACTCTTCAAAAAGCACATCCTCGGTAAAGTCGGGGCATATGTTTATGTCATCGAGTTTCAAAAGTGTGGTTTGCCGCATGCCCATTTTCTTCTGATAATGACACCCGAACACAAAATGACCAATCCAGATCATTACGACAAGAGTGTGTGTGCTGAAATTCCGGAACCAACCAGGTATCCCCAAATGCACGAACTGGTCATCCAACACATGATGCATGGTCCTTACGATCATTTACGACCGTCCAGTCCTTGTATGCAAGGTGAGCCGAAAAAATGTCGTTTCAGATATCCCAAACAGTTCAACGACAAGACGATGCAAGCTGAGGACTCATATCCATTATATCGTCGGAGAAATAGTGGAATTAATGGAATGTACGAGGCAACATTCTGGATAATAGATGGGTGGTCCCGTATAACCCGAAGCTGTTAATGATGTTTAATTGTCATATCATGTTGAGGCTTGCTCGAGTATAACATCTGTGAAGTATGTCTTCAAGTATGTTTACAAGGGTCATGACAAACAAGTTGTTCATATCGAGTCAGAGGAAGAAAGGGTCATTATTAACGAAATTAGAAGGTTCCAAGATGTACGTTATGTCTCCCCTCCCGAGGCGATATGACGGATTTTTAGCGTCACACTTTCTCAAATGCACCCTTATGTGATGGCGTTGCAACTCCATCTCTCTAACAAACAGATGGTTAGGTTTAGAGATGACGATATAATGACAGATATTGTCGATAGAGAGAGAGAGATAAGCGAACGATGTTGACTGCATTTTTTGATAGGAATAGAACATATATGAGTGCAAGAAAATCTTTGTACAAAGACTTTCCAAAACACTACACATGGAATTGGAGCACGCGTCGATGGAATCCCCGAGAAAGAGGATCAATGAAAGGCCGACTTGTGTCTGCAAATCTAGCGGAAGGAGAGCGATTCTATCTACGCCTACTTTTGTCATATATTACTGGACCTACTTTCTTTGAAGATCTATACAGTTTTAACGGCTTACTGCACCCTACATTTCGCAAAGCATCTCTTGAGAGAGGGTTAATAGAGAACGATGACAACTTATCCCAATGTCTTGGAGAGGCCTCCTTATTTCAATTTCTGGCTGCTCTTAGGAGGTTATGTGCCACGATGTTGATTTATTGTGAGCAAGGAGATGTTCGTAGGTTATGGGATGACCACTATGATTCACTTTCTGAAGATTATACGCGACAAAGTGAAAGTGCTAATCGAGTCCGTAATATGGTTCTAACTGATATCCTCGTTTTTCTACAGTCTATGGGTAAAAAGTCTTGATGATTTCGATCTTCCAATGGTTGATGAAAATTCCAATTTTCAATCTGGAGAATTTCATGAGGTACAAGAGGAATGCTCTATAGCTGTGGAAGATGAACACTTGCGTGCCCGAGACTCTCTGAATTCCGACCAGAAATACGCATATGATGAGATCATGAGGCACGTAGACGAGGATTGTCTAGGAGTGTTCTTTATAGATGGTCCGAGTGGAACCGGGAAGACTTTTTTGTACAAAGCTTTGCTTGCCAACATCCGTTCACGTGGTCTTATTGCTCTCGCAACCGCTTCGTCAGGTGTTGCTGCCAATAATATGCCTGGAGGGAGAACAGCTCACTCTAGATTCAAAATTCCTCTCAACCTTGATAATAACTCAATGTGCAACATAAAAAAACAAAGTGGAGCTACTCAATTGATTCGAGATGCAAAAATAATCATCTGGGACGAAGCATCGATGGCAAAGAGGCAAGCAGTAGAGGCGCTCGATTGAACAATGCAAGACATCATAGGGGTGGCATTCCCATTCGGCGGAAAGATAATGGTTTTGGGGGGTAATTTTAGACAAGTATTACCGGTCGTGAGGCATGGAACCCGAGCACAGATTGTAGATTCTAGCTTACGGATGTCACCTCTTTGGGCAACAATTAAAAAGATACGATTAATGCTCAATATGAGAGCACGCACAGATCCGTGGTTTTCAGAATTTTTATTAAGAGTCGGTGATGGAGATGAAGAAGCGGTGGACGAAAGCTTTATTCGCATACCGGACGACATGACCATTCCCTATACTGATAAAGATAAGTCAAAAGATGCGCTGATTGACGCAATCTTTCCATCTCTACAAATCAACGGAGCTGATTCGGATTATATCATTTCGAGGGCGATATTGTCAACTAAAAACGAGAATGTCGATGAGATTAATGATCAATTGATCGACAAGTTTTCTGGAGATGAAAAAATATACTACAAATTCGACGAAGCAGAAGATGATAAGAACAACATCTATCCGATGAAGTTCTTAAATTCTTTAACTTTAGTGGTTTGCCTCCTCATTACCTTCTTCTCAAGATTGGATGCCCAATAATACTGTTACGAAATATCGATCCCTCGAATGGATTGTGTAATGACAGTAGATTGATATGCAGAGGCTTTCAACAGAATGTCATCGATGCAGAAATAGCTGTTGGTCAGCATGCTGGAAAGAGAATATTTTTGCCGAGAGTTCCCTTATGTCCGTCCGAAGACAACATGTTCCCATTTAAGCTGAAGAGAAAACAGTTTCTAATTCGACTTAGCTTTTCTATGACAATCAATAAAGTTCAAGGCCAAACAATTCCGAATGTAGGTGTTTATCTACCRGAATCAGTTTTCTCACATGGGCAACTTTACGTGGCTTTGTCCAGAGGGATATCACGAGGGAATATGAAGGTGTTAGTGAAGCCTGTTAAAAAATTCAATCGTGCCGAAGTCTACACCTTAAACGTCGTCTATCAATAAGTTTTACGTGATGAATAAGGTATAATCAACAATTATATTATTACACATTTTGTACCATATGTTTTAATTAAAACCATTGCGCCATTTTTTGTAGGAAATATTTACGGATGAGTGCATCACGAAAAACAAACAGCAGTTTGGATATACGGATGAACATTATTTTACAAACGATTGTATTTAATGAGTTCTGAGTATATGGTTTTCAGAAACCCGACATGTGTGCAATTTTTTTTCCATTCGATCTTGCTAACAAACAAAATTAACCTTCAACTTTATATATTAGTTGACTTGTAAAATAACCACACGAACTCATGATTCAAAACCAAACTAATGTTTTCGGATTATGATTTACCCGCACTGCATCACGCGGGTACACCACTAGTATATATATATATATATATATATATATATAGATATATATATATATATATACACTACCTTATAAATCATATTTGAGAAAAATCTTAAAAACAATCTTAAATATATAAAGTATTATTTTTTGATGCAAAAAGTTTTAAAAAGTATTAATTACAATATCACAAACATATTATACAACTTCTTAATGCTTTTAGAAATCTGATTCTCTTAATTACAAGACAATATGCATGGTGTACGACTCTAACATTCTATTCTTCCTCCCAAAATTAGTTGTTCCAGGTTCCAAGATGCTCTTCCGCTCTCAATGCAGTTTATGTTTCCAATTACCTACTCAAACATCGATGTGCCTATTGATTTCCCCAAGGTTACATACCAGCGATATGATTCTCTTCATTGTTATTGCTTCTAGACCTGCTTCCTTCCTTCTCTCGCCCCTCTAATCCTTCTCTCTCCCCTCTAAACCAAAGATGATAATCTGCTTCCTTCCTTCTCTTCCCCTCTAATCCAGTAAAACATCTGCCCTAGACGCTCTATAATTTCAACTATATAGAATCCTTTGTCGTTCTCGACTTTGGTGTGTGGCTGTTCTTCGTTGAAATGGTAGGTTTTTACCCAATTTTTCTTGTTTAAGTACCATAACATTGTCGTTGCTTCTCCAAATTCTAAAAGATTGGGAAGTTTTACCAGGGAGTTGTTTTCTTTATTTTTTGTTCATTTTCTACAGATTTATTTTTCAAGGGACTTCATCTTTATTAAGATTGAAGTTCATGGGATTTTATATGTCAATTCAACATATGCAAACTAGGTGTTTGATGACATGCCTCAATACAACAAGACTTTCAAGCATCTCGATTCAAGCTAATATTGAGGTAAAATTTGCACTGTATTTTAATTCACAAGTAATATTTCTTGAATTTTCAAATCCTTTTTCTCCATTGAGATTGATGATAGGTCTATGTACATCTTACCCTTTTTGGACCCGCATCTAAATGAGATATACAGGAAATGGTTAAATTTAATAAATTTGAAGAAACAAATGAAGTTTGCAAAATGATCACCCTTCTGGATTGTTAGATGTAACAAATATTCTCTGTTCTTTTGTTTATGTCGTAACCTGTTTCAAACTCTAAGCGAACCTGTCAAAATTGCAGCCTGTATAAACTTAGTTGCATATTTTTGAATTATTTTAGTGTAGGATTAAAGTTGGTTTACTTTGTTGAAAAAATATTTTTCATGTAAGTTTGAAAGCGTTTTTATGATGTTTCTGCATTTGAGCAGCATTTCAAGAGGTATTTTGTGAGAGTGATCTTAATTTGCTTGATTGTTTATCGGATAAGAGGTGTGCTTCTTTAGCTGACATGATACACCAACACGTACTTTTAACAATAGTTCACAGACGTCCACTAAATATTAAACCATGAGCTTTTTGAGTTTTGACCAGATAGGATATATTTTTCCTGAGAACTTGGCATGTATACAGCGTACCAATAATGGGAACTTGTAGCTGCACTGTTTTCATTCTCATAAAGAGTTATTGAGTTGTGATAGCTAGAGTTAAGAGATTCTGATACAAAGACATTAATGACTCCAATTCTAAGGATTAAAATTGGTGGCAGTCTAAAAGCATGATTCATTCCAATGATAAACTGTTGCAGCTGAAATAAGTTGTGAACTAAGGGATATGATGTAAAATTAGCACAATTTGCAACATGGCCTGAATTTCAGGAATATGCTAAGACTGTTACTTACTACTGTGATGAATGAATTTGTTACTAACTTAGTTGAGGTTGATGATTCCCAAGTCTTTATCTAAATAAATTTGGATAAGCACTTCAGAGTCTGCCCTTATATGCATTTGTGAATGTATGTTTGATGTATGTATTATACTGCTCTTGCTGGGTGGGTTACATGGAATAGACAAAGGATGGATCATGTAGATTTGATCAAAAAATAATATACTTGGATGGATCATGTAGATTTGATTTTTTTGGTTTTGTAGACCTGCTTTAAATATTACCTTGATTATGGTTGTAACATTAAAGACAAAGGATCTCAACTATTCAAATCCTTATTAGGATCTCAACTATACATTTATTAGGATCAATGTTGCAATGCATTCCAACTCGATATCTGACTAGGATCAATGTTGCAATGCATTCCAACTCGATGTCTGATTAGGATCAATATTGCAAAAGTAATCCATTTATAATACGTCTCTCATTTCCCAAGACACTAATCAAATTCTAGGCTCATCTTTGATACATGTACTCTATCGATTCATTTTTAGTGGTGCTTATCATTCATCTCTGTCTTTCTATCGATTCACGTAGATGATTTTTGATTATCAATTTATTTTAGGCTTTTTATTGATTTCTTTAAGATGTTTTTTTGTTTGATCGACTTTTTTAGGTGCCATCTTGGTTTTGTTTATCGATTTTATTGATTCTCACAGGTTCTAAGTAATCTAGAGAAGGCAACTTATCGCTTTTCTAATACATTCTTCTTCATACATCTTATCGGCAGGCACAAAGGCAAGTTACTATTTTCTTAACATCTATTAAATGTTTTTTGTTTGATCGATTTTGGTAGATATTTTTTGTTTGATCGATTTTAGTTTGGTTTGTATAGAAGTGACAAAAGTGATTCTCTCTTTGTGCCCACATATGTTGTTGTAAACAAACATAATAGGATTAATCTATATGGATGCAGGACAAGGTTAATTACGGTGATTCAATGTTCATGGACACACCAAGAGGTAGAGGTCTTCAGTTTCCTTTTTCTATATGTGACCGTGATATTATCAAGGTTTTCGTTAATTTCCGTTTAAAATGCTTGGATGTTTTGCTTGTTTACTAAATTCAACAACATTGAACCAGGGCAACAAGAGGACACCAGAGCATTTTGTTGGTTTCGAGGCTGTCATCACAACTCAATGCATGAATGGATGGTCAGTCTTGCTTCTTTCTTAATTTGTCTATTTTCATCTTCGGTTTTAGTTTATGGTCATTGATTTAAGAAATTTGTTAGTTTTGATATGTACTTGAATACATGTTGTTAGGAGTCATTGGTTGTTGTTTAGCCTGCTTGTGCCGAGCATTTGGTTTTGCGAAAAGAGATATTGACTTTTCTAAGTCGTCAGAAATTGATATTGTTTTATTTTATATTCATTTGTTCAATTAGTCTGTCCATCATCCTTTTGACTTACTAAATTAGTTTTTTTTACATGTTGTAAGTGGATATCTTGTTTTTCTTACTATTCCATGGCAAAGCCATTTAAGGTTTTCAATTTTGGGCATGACCATCTTTTACAAGTTTCTGTTGTTTATTTCTTTTTCAGTTGCAAAATAAGGAGGAAGGTTCATCTTATCATGAAAGTTCATATACTTGAACACCAGACATGCCAAAGCTCACTAACCCCTTTAAAAGACGAATATGAAATATTTTTAGCGCACATACATTCTGTCTATATCATATGTTTCAATATGGTTTTTTCTGGTGTTACCTGACAGCATTTATAGCGTGGCATGGATTAGGATTGAACATTCATTCCTGACTCGGTAAGCTTTGGAGGTAATATACTTTGCTTGGATTTTTAGTTGTAGTTTCATGTTTTTTTTCGTTTTGTTGAAAATCCTTTGGCTTTTAAGGACTGAGTTAAATCTCCATTTACTTTTCAACAATATCAGCAGAAAGGGTTGGCTAAAGGGACCAAAAACACAAGCTATGCAACATGCTCACTTCTTTTTATTTACCTATGTACTTCTTTTTGTTGTTCTGCTATTTTTAACGGTATATTGTTTTGGTTTATAGGACCTTTAGAAACTTTATCCTCACCAGCTCAGTCTAAAGGACCGCGAAAGTTGAAGGCTTAATATGGCAAGTAAAATAGATCTCTGGACGAGTTGCTGTTTAAGAAAAAAAATAAAGCACTCAACACAAAAGCATGTCTTTTGGTTACTATTGTAAAGCTATATGTAGGGATGTTGTAATGTTGTAATTGAAGTGTTTTGACTATACTGTGTTTATAACCAATAAGCCCGTTAGCATATTACTCATGGGATTGATTTTGACAGCTTATTTCAACTTTGTTACTGAAGTCAAGTGTTGATGATGCAAAAATGTTCGTCACGGGGATGCAAGCGGTGTTTGTCTGGTTTATAATTGTTAAACAAGGAAAGGTGATTGCTTTGTGAAATGGCAAATAGGATATAGTGAAGACAAAAGGAGATTGCATCCAATTTGATAGGTGAAGACATAGTTCTTAATCGATCAATTTTGATTCTACATTTAGGTTCGGGGTTTGATTGCGATTTTGTATCAACTTGTGATACAGGATGAAGTCCATATCTAAAAGAAGCAAACTTTAAATATGCAAATTTTAAATCAGTTATCATATTACGATAGGAGATTTTAGTGTATATTCTCTACTCTATTTCTGCTACTTCTTGATAGTTGTAATCCGATGAAGCGGTGATCTACTCAACTCTTATGCCACTGCAATTTCTACATATTTCTCATTTCGGTAAAATGCATGCACCTTAACTAATTCCAAAGGTCTAGAAAACAGCTCGGAAAATCTCCGGTGACTGTTATTAGACTCGAACCGGTGAACTCTGAGGATGATCCTTATGGGTATAATACTAAAAGTTAATAAATCAAACAAAACAATTAGTACTTTGTATGAGGATTAAGATTCAAATGACAAAAAAAAAAACTATTTAAAAATCAACACAAGTTGACAAACCAATAAAACAATTTGTATATTATTCGATGAACGTTGAGTTTGAAAATAAATTTTTGTACAACTTTGCAAAGGAATTATATGTGTATACTTATTCCAGTAGTTGTTTCCAACCCATAAACATTTATAGACGATCTCATATTGGTGGTCGGAGTTTAAAAGTCTAGATAATTAACTAATTGACTTGAGACGAGTTTTGTTGATTAACATGTCAGTTATAAAAGGTTTTTTTTTTTTTTTTTTTTGTCAAAAATATGTCTATATTCATTCAAAATAACATACTTATATTCAAATCGAAAGGAAAAGCGTTTTCTATTTCTCTTGGCCTTGCTATGACAATCATGTAAAACTTATACCCCGTCGCATTTCGCGAGTATAAAACTAGTATATTCAAAAACAGATTACAAATTTGAACATAAAACAACAAATATAAACTTTTCTTAAAAGACTAAAGAAGTATATAGCAAATTCTTTTTTTTCATTTTACACTTGTCAAATTCCAACTATAACAATTATTTATATTTTAATAAATATAATAATTAATTTGCAATAACATTAAATAAAAAATGCCAGTTGAATGACTTTGGTATGTGGATAAAACAGAATAACACATAACAAAATAATTGTTTAACATTTTATACGACAAGACTAGATAAAAAAGACTGATAAAATAATCAGTTTACTCTTAACGAGTTATTTATATTATTTATATATTTTTATCATATTATATAAATTATAATAAAATCAATAATTTTTATAATAAAATATAATATTAAAAAGTTTTCCTCAAGTCCATTAAAATATAAAGTTTATTCATTTTCATTTTTTATTTTTTCCCTTTCTTAAAAGTCAAGACTCAAGAATATGTTTCATCAATGTTACACTCTTCCTCCCATGTCTGAAAATGTTTTTCTTCCATATTTACCAATAATTAAAGTATCCAATTATTATATACATTTTCTCGTTGAGTTGACGGCAGAGAAAGACCGGGCATTCTGACAAGCCGCCAATGCTTTCTTTCTCTTTATGTTAAGAGTTACAACACACACCAAAATTTAATATGCAAATAGTAACGAATTGATTGCAACATGTTTAAAATGAGATTTCGAAATAGTTACTGTTTATGTCAAAAATTACACCAAAGATGATTTAAGGTTGGTTTGTGGAGCTTTTACAATTAAAGATCAAATTATTAGATATAAACACAAGAACATAAAACAATAAAGGGGAGAAAAAAATTGGTAACGCGGAAAACACCGTCGAGGGTAAAGACCGCGGACCACAAGAGAAGTCATCAATGCACTAAACTACAACAATTACAAATATAGATCGTGGATAAATAGACGGTGGCGAAAAGTAATGTAAGACAACAATTGCTTTAATAGATTGTTCTTCGTGGCTTCTAAATTACTTCAACGGTTAGGTCTCTAGATATCTTTTCTTGAATCCTTTCGGCCTTTTTATAGGTACTCGGATTGTATGTTCTAACGGTCATCATTCAAGTGCATTTATGAACATAACGATCAATTTTCACTGCATCCTTAACGGTTGGTCGTTCATTACCTTGATGAATTAACGAGGTAGATATTGATCAGATATATCTGAGTCCTTTAATAAATGTCAAAGGTAACGGATGTCGTGGTTAGCATAAAGTAATGAACGTCGTGGGTTTAGTGTGTCGTGGGTGACCATGATCGTACATAGATAACCACGACAGAGGGTCGAGGATTTCGTGGTTGCAGATAATTACAATCAAATGTCGAGGACGTCTTAGTTTTGATAATCCTGTTCGTTGATATTGCTATCGTGGATGTTATACTTGACGGTCGAGGGTGTGGATGTTTTACCAGAACAGTATGCATCCTGAGATATAAATTTAAATACTTATTTAAATTTCATATCTTGTGCCAAAAATAAATTGATCACTCAAAGGTTTCTTGTACATGTGTCATGGAGAGATTGGGTTAGTTACTGGGAAACTGAATCCGTTGCAAGAGAATCGAATCATCCAAGATTCTATGACATCATGGGGGTGTCACGTGCATGGTTATAACCTTACTGACCACATGTCACTCATCGAATTGGCGATGCGAAATGTCGCAGGCACGTGTCAATCATTTGATGGTTGATATGACACATATCAATATAAATAAGGGTTTCCTTTGAAATTGTTTCCTTTTCATGCTTCAAAGAAGATTTTAGTTAGAGAGAGAGCCAAATCCTTTTCTTCCGAGAGAAAACCTGCAATATTTGCTATGTTTTTTGAGGTTTTAGTGTTTTTACATATGTTATCATTCTTCCCATTCGTTTTGTGTGTTTAAGGTTTTAGAAGAGTTTGGAGAGGTAAAATCAGACACGTTTTCCTCAGTTGTAAAAAGAGACTATGTGTGTCCGAAATCACTGACCAATCTTCATATCATCATAACAATCATGGCAGATCTTGATAATTCATGTAAAAACATCATATGAACATTCATAAGGATCTTGAGAGAAAAGGTCAAATGGTCAATCCTTGATTATGTATGTGTGTATTACAATAAGCTCATCTCTTACACTAATTACAAAGACTTAACCATATTTATATGGTCAAACATACAAAGACAAGGTCAAAGTCAAACCTATAAGAAAAGTCAAACACGCTGACTTTTTACAATTATAGACTATTTATAAACTTTCAAGACAAATACAATTAATACTGATTTCTCAGTCCTAACATTCTCCCCCTTTGTATTCAGACTTGAAAGAAAATTC